TACGACACAACTATATAGTCTATTTAATCGATAAGATGTTTGCTTGTACATATTAAGACGTTTAAATTTGCTCGAAATACAGAAGATGTAACGTAAATGGATTCACTAATTGTATACACCGTCAATTCCGTGAGCATTAGAGTAAATGAACCTCATTACGACACTGGGTTGGAATTACGTTATTCGGAAAGACGTTACGTCTTCATTCGTACGACGGAGTTACAACTTCCAATTGTCGGTGTCCATACCGCGCCGCGCCGTTTTATAAAGCATCACTTATGCGGCTATTTGACACAGTGCCACGAGCTACATACCTATGGGATTTAATAGATACTTTGGACACGCTCTCCCAGGAGTCGAATTAATAAGGAATACGCCACGCGAATTTGCCACGATGTGTTCTGAAATAAGAGCGATAAAGCAGAATATGGTTTTATAAGTTCAATGCAAAGTGAGAAAGTCATCGTTATGTTTATTCGAGTAATTTTGGCAGTTGGACGAAAGAGAATAATTAAAAGAATTTCTCCATATTATTAGTTCTTATTTTAAATTTTAAATTTGCATGAGATACAATTTTAGATTTTATAATCGTATAAAATCATAGATAAAAAAAAGTAAGATTACATTATACTTTCAAATCTTTTATAGTAATTTAAATTATATTTAATATCTGAAGAAAGCTTGAAACATTTGAAATGTTTAAATTTTATGTTTTTATTTCATATTTGACTTGTTAATTTTATGAGTTAGTTAACTCATAACTAATTGAAATTACTGACCGACTTCTTCATGCTTCTAATTTGAAACATACGTGAAACTACACGAAACGAACTTCGCATTGGAGTTTGTTTCATGAAACAGTTTCATGTATATTTCAAATAATAATCGATAAAATCATAAACGATATACATCATAAACGATAAAAAGATTTATTTAGTTAGGATATACGCACTGTGCGTCTCTGTACACATTACTGATGATTGATAATTATACTTTCTACGATTACTTTCTATAATTAAACCGTAAAGTATGCGTTCAGTGAACGATACCTGCACGCTATCAGCAAGAAGCGTGTTCGTGCAGCAAACGAAGCGTTGAATAGCGGAATGTACCAGCCTACATATTATGGAAATTGAGTAATTGCAATCAGACTATAGCGCAACTTTGTTTCATTTACACCATCGAATCGGAATCGTTTTTGTGAAATCCGAAAATATTATATTCCTTTTGCATTTTCCTTACAACTTAAATGCGCTATGCAATCTCTACATGTATAAAAAAATAATTGATTTTCGTAAGAAGTTTTCCATATTTTTTTACAAAATTGGATTTGAACAGTATTGAAGTATTTTAACGTACATTCAAGAGAATAACAAAAAGCTGAAGGAAGATCTGTACATCCGATCATCCTTAGCCGACTTATACTGCATCTTCGCGCAACATTGCTAACGCAGGATGAAAACTTTTAATAAAGCTCTCGCGCTGCATTGCGGACTGGAGTTTTATGTTACTCCCTAAGGTGAACAGGCTCGTAAACGAGGTCATCCTCACAATGTTGAAAATTGTGTGCTGGGCGTATACTGTATCCATTTCCAAGTTCTTGATGGATACTTTTTCTTGAATATCAATCTGCAATATACTGACAGGAAATATATATATATATATATATTCTTCTATAACTTATATTTGCATATTTATTAAAAATTGTTACAAATATTCTACTACTTCTATACTTCAATGTGAAATTGACATTTTATTTCTAAATATATATAAAACGACCAGATAATGTTATGATTAATTTCTATTCATTAAAAAATAACCAACAATAAATAAAGGGCAAAGTAAGAGTCAAACACATTTTTTAAATTGTTCACACAATTAAAAAGAATAAATTACAAATAGAGAAAAGTAAAATTGAAAAATATAATAAAATAAAAACTTAATTTAAATACAAATAAATTACAAGTTTCGGCTACCGGATTGAGCCCTCTTCTAAATGTCTATTCATTAACTTTAGACTTTTATGCAGTTTTGAAAAGATATTTTGTTTTCTGTTGCAGATCGAGCGAGAAGATTTAACGGTCAGAAATGATGCGAAGAAAAATATTTATCTTTGTATTAGGAATATGCATAGGTAAGTTGCGAAAAATATTTGAATTATCTTCTTTATTTTTCATAGTTTTTTTTACTATTTACGAAAATATATAGAATGTCAAATTCTTCGCGTTGATAAAAAAGCAAGAAAAGATGGTATTTTGTGGTTAATGTTTTTTTACGCTATGTACACAATTTTTGTTTTGAGTACTGCATGCAGCGGTATTGCCGCCAAAGAGAATCGACTAGCATCTTTCAGTTGCATCCTGTTGCATTGTGAACTCGTGATGTAAAGCTTGCCAATCGAGGTGACTGCACCAAGTACTGTTAGGTCTGCTGCATGCTCGCGAGTTAACTGTAACTTGTAACTTATCAACAAAATTTTTCATTCCACCTCGATCGTCATCTTTCAGTTTATAGTGGATTATAACTTTGTTGAATATTTAACTAAGCTGATAAGTCTGAGAAAAATATTACAAGAAATATCCGGATTTTAGATGTTAGATATCCTACATGTATCTATTTGCATATAAAATATATTTCTTTAAAAGAATCATGAGTTAATGTATGAGTTAAAGATAGCGATAGAATTCTCGCGAATTTAATTAATTATAGCCGGAATTAACGTCTGTAAGATAAGTGGCGTCTCGATGACGCAACGAGTAGCAATGAGGTTGGTAATTATTTTAACAATGTTTCCAACGTGGTAGACTAGTAAGTATTTCCCAACAGAAATGAAGAAATTTAAACAATATAGCCTATCATTTTTAATACCATTGCAATAAGAAAACAATCGCACACGCGTGTCACTTTATGTATATTAATATTAACTCTTTTTAAATGAGCTTAGATATATTGTTAAGCAGAATGCTGTGTGATTAGAGAACAATGTGCAAATTCTCAGTAATTACGTTAAAGAAGTTGCGTGTTAACTAACGAGTTAAGAGACATCTATTATTAAAAGACTTTGTGCGCTGCATAAGTAAATACTTCGCTTACTCGAATCATATTATTGTAAGGGAAGAAACATTTAATAAATAATTATGTAATTTTCACGTGCATCAAAATTTAATTATTTTTTAAATGATCAATTATCAGTTCAATTATATAATTTAATAGATGAAATGTCTTTTTCATCAATATCAAGATACATTCTGCGAATCTGATTATATATGTAAATATTTCGTGTTATATGATGTTATATGATGCTATTTCCAGAAATATTTCTCAATACGAAATTTACACATAAAGAGATACTTCGAGAAGATAACAACATTTAAATGTGTACATGGATACGCGTACTTTATATCACGTTTTATACAGAATCTTTATTTTAATTGTATTTCAAAATATATTTCAAATATAAATTTGTTTAAAATGTATATCTTAAATCTTTTTCAATTTTAATTTTATTAAATATTTGTAATAAAATTTATAAATATAACAATGTACTTGTTTCTTATTTTTAATGTAACTATTTCGGAATGAAAATTGTTACGGTGCTGAAAATACATACGTTTTAAATGTCAAGATATGCAAATCTGGGCAAATAGATAATAGATAAATGGTGATACAAGATAAATGGTGATACAAAATAAAAAAAATGTTTTTATCTTCTCTTTTAAATAATCAAGTTCACGGAATCGACACTTTGCCATAAAATCTTTAGTATTTATCGGAAATATATAGAATCGAGGTAGAAATCAGTTGGAAAATTCTCGCTGCAAATCCGCGCACCAATACAATAAATATTTATCTCGACTTCGGTGTTCATGGAGAGGACTAGTCATGTTGTATCGACGTAAATCAGCAAAACACGAGGACACACTCGAAGCCCCTGCATAATTCCGAGGTCTGTTTAATATTCAAACTCATGTTCTCGCCGTGCCGTGGTTGCGCGAGCGCTTTCAGTTTGCAAAATGCGAACTGTATCGTAGAACCTCGTGAATAGTTCCAAAGGAACTCGCCGGTAATTCCACGGACAACCGGTTTTTCGATCCATTAAATGCCTCGTCTACGCACGCCATATTTTTATCGCATCGAGCGATGATAGAAACCAGTTGTCGTTGTTGTCGATGAGCTCGCGGAACTTCTGTTTTCATGCATCAAACAAACACGCTTGTTGCATATTATTACCATAATTCAACTTTTTTAACGTCAAACGACTAAAATTATATGGAGTAAGAACAATTAATATATAAGAGTCAATTTTCTGCTTAAGTTTTTCTACATAATTAACGAACTTTGAAAGTGTAAATCTTCTTCGAATACAAATCGTAAATTTTTATTTTTTTTTGTTTTTATAATATTAATATGTAAAAAATGTTTTTATCAAAACTCATAACAGAATGCTGGATTTCTAAAAAAAATTTTTTCAGCTGCAATAATATTGTAAGAAGTGGGGGTTCCTATTTAAAAATTTAAAGTTGACCTTAAGAGTTCCACCATACTTACATTTAAGGTCAAATAAGCATTGCCGTTTGATGATTATTTGATGATTATTGAAACCTTACAACTTTTGTATAAAACATTTTTCTTAAAAATACTTTGTTTGTCATAAGATATTCGATTGTCCAAACTTTTGGCCTATCCTGGTATACATAACAATTTAATTTTATAATTAAAGTATTAAATACTAAACATAAACTTTTTCAAATGTAATTTGAACTAATAGAATTAATAATTTTAATGAACTGTTAAAAGTTTTCTTAAAACAATATATTACAGCGCATCAGTTAGAATTATGTTATTAGTTACTTTATCAATATCAGCTGATTCTTGTAAATATGAACTATACTGTGTGCAGCACCTACACATGAGTAATCAAAAGATAACGTTAATAGAGCAGTAAAAGTCAATAATATTTGAATTGTGAAGATAATAGATCAATATTGATTGTCAATAACAGATGATAGATTAACGCATAAGGTAGAAAAAATAGTCATAAACCTAAAGACGCAAGACATCTTTTTCGTGGCATTTTTATATATTAAACAATTTTAATTATTTTTATGAATTTAGTATCAACAAAAACATTATACAATAAGACACTCTATATATATTTGAAGTAGAAAATAATTATAAACATAAAATAAGCATTATCAAAAAAAAAAAAGATGAGTATTAATACAAAGTTATAAAATTGAACTTTGCTATTTTAGGCACTTCGCTGCTACTCTTTGACAATGCGGTGGCGGAAGTTACGGAAGTGTCGATTACATCAGAGAAATCTGAGTCCCAAAAAGCGTCGACTCCCCGAGGATCTACGACAATCTTAACAAAAGTTTTCTCGATCCATCAAAATCGATCGTTTACAGAAAACGATGGAAGAAATATCGAATTAACGAATCGAAAAACTCATGACGCAGAAAATAGATCACCCGACAGTATTACCGGTAATGCGAATCAAGATGAAAAAAAAGATATACTGATACATGCGAATTCAAACGCAGGAAAAACAAGCGATGAATCTGAAAATTCATCGTTGGATGGAAGCAGGAAACCGAGGTACGGAGAAATTGCTGTTGAAAGCTCCGGAAAAAGCACCAGTACGAAAGTCGTTTCTGAAGATTTTCTCAGACTTTCCCGGAAGAACGAACTGACTGCGGCGACCGCGAAACCAGCTTTCGATGATTCGAAGCAGGACAGTAAAAATCTAGAGAATGTATCTCTTCAAGAATCCTTCAACCATGAAAAAATATCCGATACGACGAAGACCACATCTCCAAATACAAAAGAAAATATTATTAACGAAAAATTAATCGCAAACATGGAGATATCAGAATCTAAAGAGGTAAGGAAGGAGCCTTCCGTCAAGTATGAAGAGAAGAACGCAACTGTGGATAAACAAGACATACCGACCTTCAAGCCAACCGCAAATTTCCTTTCGACAACCTCGAAATCGATATTTGATGACGCTATTAAATCCGACGAAAAGAAGGACAAAATGATAAAACTTGATCATAAGGAAGTCGTTTCGAGAAAGGACAAAAATACAATTTTAACTGACTTAAAGGAGGAAGTAGAGGATCATGATCGGGAATCAACAACGGTGCGCTGCGAAAAGTCCTTAGAACTGAAAAAAAGTGTGAACGATGTAGGAACGACGGCATCCGAAGCGTTCGATCTCGAGAAGATCGATGAGAAGGAACACGAAGAAAGTGTCTCATTAGTTAATGACACGCATGTAAACTTCAATAATTTTTACAAGACTGTGACGGAAAAAGATCTCAAAACTAGCCCAGAAAATCGTTCGATTGACGCGAATGAATCGCGTAAGAAAGGTGATCCGAAGGAAGAAGTGGAGATAGTTAAGAACGTGACTGACCTGTCGGTACTAAGGATTATAACTACGAATGATACTACGAAGAATGATTCTTTTAATGAACTGAATAATCAGGAAGAAGTTTACGTTAAGAAGAAAGGGGAGATTAACGCGAAAGATAAAAATGATAGTTCTGAACAAAACATGGACTTCTCTATTTCTAATACAACTATTAAGAGGATAGATAGTGTGGAAGAATGGAAATCAATAGGGGATCCCGAGAGCCAAGTGAAATTGCCCGAAACAACTCAAAGCGTGCGACTTGAAGAACGTACGTCATCCGTCCCAGAAACCACTCCTAGTCTAGTTCCACAAGGCAGAACTATCGGGTTTTCCGGAGCTAACAAGTTTCCGAATAACGAGGTGAAAACTACAGCCTCAATGAGGACTGATGGGGAAACATTGATCACTCAGAGCTTGCAAAGCAGCACGGAAAAAATAGATCAAAAACCTTATCCGTATCTAAAATCCAGTAGAGTATCATTCCAGAAGCCAGTAACAGAGGCTAATATGAAATTGAAAAAGGAAGACGGCGATGTTATGGAAGAATCTTCCGCTTACGAGAATACGATCGGAAGAGGCGAATCCGAGAAGAAGCTCGTTGTCACAGAACCTTCAGTTGTGATCGAGAATAGCATTCAACAGCACAAGCCGAACAAGAAAAATGAGTCCACGAATTCTACGACAAAGAGTTTCTCCTCTTTGATGCCAGTGACGGCAGTCTCGAGTGTTTCGGCTAAAGTTGAACCAATGAACGAAACTTTTCCGGAAGGATTTAATAGCAGCGCAAGAGCCAATGAGGAAATGAAACGATCGAAGTCAAACGAAAATAATACGTCAGGTGTGAAAGAGGAGGAGAAAGTGATTGTAAGCAGAGACGAAGGCTACGACGTGACTGGAAATGGAATAACGGAAGTGAGCCTGACTCCGGATGGCAAAGAAGTGAAATCACATTTCAGCGGAACAACGGAATTGTCAACGTTACGTTCCACAGAAACACATGCATCTAAGACGGTGTCTTTGAATACCGATGTTCAGATGGAACCGGAAGAAGCTATGATGATTCGTTCAACTTTTGTCGTTACCGAATCCACGAGTGTCATTCCCTTGGACAAAAATGCGACGACAGAAGCGAGTAAGTTCAAAACTTCGATGACGGCAGCGGAAGTCAATACTATCGCCACGGTGCTTCTCGAGAATTCTACGGAATCTGCGTCGAAAACGAACGTCACGCTGCGACCGTTATCTTCGAGTGTCAATCATACCACTGAAACTCCTCCTTTTGTCACTTTAAATCCCGACGAATTCCCAATTCCAACGACTACATCTATCGAATTTGAATTTGTTAGTCTTACGGAAGCGATCTCTTCGGAAAGAAATAACGTGACCGAGAAGAGTATCGAAGGGCAAACTTTTGAGGAACAAACGATACCTTATAGGACAGCGACAATCCAAAATTCGTCCGCGACGGACAATTCAACGGAGAACATGATTACTGCGATGAAACCAGAGGAATTTACCGAACTTCCTGTGACGATCGAAGACGGAACTCCAACGACGGATCAAGTGTCGAATATGCATCACAACGAAACTATCAGAGGTCCGACAATTACTCAGAGCACTACTGAGAGTCAAAATAATCGAACGGAGATGAACGAAGTTACTATAAGCGTTATCGATTTTACTACCGCTGTCGGCAATGACACAAGAGCCTCCGGCGTTACCGAGAACCCTTCAAAATCTAAGGATTCAAGTTTTGATGCGAACATCACCGAAACGTCCGCCTCAGGCGCGACGGAACTTCCATCGAATACAAGCGTCAGGACAACGATAAATGTCACAAAGGGCCTTTCGGCTACAACTACTTTGGAGCCAATAATATTCAGTACAATGAGTACAATGAGTTTTACGGAATCTTCCGAAGAAGAGATAACGGAAAATATTCAAACTCCGTCGCCGGATGAGATCACGTTATTAGTTAAAATAATCATTGAAGGTACCTTACACGAGGTCTGTCCTCGGTTGTCGAATCTAAGGAAAGCGCTCGCGGATTTTCTCAGGGATGGACTGAACAAGTGAGTGATTTGCAAAATTTTTTTATTCTAATTCTTCTTGTGAATATTTTTTAAAGTTGAATGTATGAATATACTAACTGAACACTTTTTTATTAAATAAAATAATTGTTAATTGTTTTTGCTCGCTGAAATAAAAATATTAATACAAGTAAAAACTCTTTAGCGTACGATTATACTTTACGTACAATTTTTTGGTATTGAATGGTTTATTATTATTTTCTTTTAATAGCGAGATGAGTTTAAAGTTTTTCTTTATTTTTTTTTTAACTACGTAAGAAGAGATACATAATAATATATAGCATACGAGGAAAATCAATTTTTATCTCGATTTCCAAATTGATAATCGAAATACATGTATGAGCTGTACGTGTATAGCTTCCTTCAAAGTTTTGTAAGTGATTTACTAACAACTACATAAAATTTATTTAATGCATTTATACAAGAAGAACTCGTTTATTTACATTTCCAAAAAAACAAGTCCTTTTGATTGCAAAAATGACATGCTACAATTTTTTTAATATCAGACACAAAGAAACAAAGTCAATAGAGAAGCACAAAATACAGGTTTTATCAATGTTATCGAAACCTTATTGACTAATGTTATTATATATTTAACTATTATTTATTATTTATCACATTATTTTAAAAATATATTATATACATGTAATATATAAATATTTTTCATGTACTTAGATATTTAAATCTTTGCAATGGTATATTTTTATATCTTTGTATACATTAAAAATAAATTAAAATATAAATAAATCTTATGCTTGAAGCTAATCCATGTAACAGTATAATAATATTGATAAATAATAATAAATTAATAAAAAATTTTTCAAAAATATGTGAATTTATAGAGACTATAAAAAAGAGAATAATATAAATGTCATTCTTTTTTTCGCAAAAATATACAAGCTTTATTTACCTATATCAATGAAGGTTTGAAAATTATGAATGAGATTTGATTAAAAATGCACTTGTCATATATTATAAAGTGCGGAATATTTTATTTTGCAGGCCTGTACAGCCGAAACAAATTGTGATTCATCAAAACCCTTGCCAGGAGCAGAATGTGTCACCGACATCCATAGACGTTTCTCTAATCACTCTCATGATTTACGTTATCGATGAGGACGGCAAGTTTGATGCCGCCATGACGAAGATTCTACCAAGTTTATACAAGGTGTCTCCCAACTTCCCAGTGAGAGTAAGTTGAAAACGGCGGAGAAGGTCGAGCGCGGATTAAAACACTGGCTGTCGAACATCAGCAAAAGTTCATAGTCCATTATAACTCTTGCTTCGGCACATTTCGTGAAAAGATTATTAACTTGAAATCACTCGCGAGTAATTTTCGATTATTATTGAAAATATTTCTATGAAGCGCTCCTTCTCCGTTAGCTTTCTCTATTAATCGATCGATGCCATAAGTGATTATGAAGTAATTGTTATTATAATTAATGACAATAATCGAAAAGTATCTCTATATTAAATTTTCTTAGGTCATTCATTCTTTCCAGATACACAAGATTCTTTTGGTATCGGAAACGGACTCCGGAAACGCAATAGCGGTCGTCGTGGTCTCCTCTGTGGCCTTTATTTGCTTACTTCTATTAGCTGGCCTTCTGGTAAGCGTTTTTAAAAATAAGCGTTTTGTACCTACAAATATTTAGTAATTTTGGAGATATCTATGCATCATATTTAATTTATAAGAGACATTGATGCTTAAATTAGTCTTTTCGTGTTTATACATACACGCAAAATAAAAGGCGCAGCGTAGAAATTGTTTAGCATGTCATGTAAGATTAATTCAATTTCTCAGTTGACCTCAATTAAAAATAACATAACATCCATGTTAGAATTTTATACTCAACAATATAATTGTTGAACAAATACAATCATTATTTGTACACGTGTATGTACTTTCTAAAACTTTTAGAGTAAATCTCATTATAATGAGTGAAATCTCATTCTTAAAGATTACAAATTTTTTTTTAGTGACTCAGTTTTCACTCTTTAGAATAAGATTTCACTTTAAAAAATTTAGAGAGTATGATACATGCATAAGCGAGTTTTTTTTACCATAATAATTGTGCCGTTATAAATCTCATGTTAAACTGATTAATTAGCAATATAAATAATTGGATGCCATTCTACAAAAAAAATTATCAAAATTTAATTTAAAAAAGTAACGGAAATTGTAACAACTCATTATAGTTTTTAAATAATGATGCGGTAACGAATTTTTTTTGTAAATCAGTAACGAATACCGGTAATAAGTTACTTTTATGAAATAATTTTCCAAACCCTGATGTTATGTTGCTTTTAGTTGATATCGACTGGATTTTTTTCGACGAAGCGACATGATTGCGAGAATTTTCAACCTTGAGTGTTCTTCCTCAAGTCCTCTTCTATCTTGTTTTTTTTTTTCAATTGTAAATGTATGTCGCATGCGTTTTTGCTCTTCTCACGCATCACGCGGCACGTTACTGAGGAATCGAAGCAGGAAATACTAATATTTCAAGATGACAGCTGCGCAGGTCCGCGAAAATCTCTGCTCACTGACGTAGCCTGCTGCTAAGTCGCGCTTGCATGGCGATAAACCTCTGTTCACGGAAGGTTTACGTTCCGCGTGTCGGTTCGTCACCGTCTATTCGTCCGTCCATCTGTTCACACTCATAATTCTCTTCCAGTGTACGTAATACGCTTATGATAACATATATATGTTTTCACCTGGGAGGTGAAAGAGACGATGTTCTCTTCTCCGTCGCGCGGAATGACAAAGATAATACGCGATGCACGAGTAATGACTTCGTGGCACGAACGAACTTTTTTTTTTACTTTTACGACAGCTTATTTTATGCTTCTTTTTTTACTCGCACTTATGACATTTATAATAATATGCATGCATATAATATGTGACTCACACCGAATGCAAGCTGATTGTTTCACGAGAAATCAAGAGATTTGCAGATTATACTTGTGTAAAAGAAATTTTATTTCTGTAAGCATTAATAGAAAAAAATTTAGTTCTTTTAGATATTAACGACATCATTAATCGCAAAAAATAACGGTTACATTAATATTTCTTATTAGATTATATAACTTTACTGCTGGAATATGTTCTACTATTATTTCAATAATAGCGTTGTTACATCAAGATCTACAGCGTAACGTTTTCTCCTGATCCTGAGTAAAATTAATATCGTACTTGCACAGCAATTAATTTTAATGAATGTATAATACAGTCGTATAACATCGGATGGAATTTGAACTAACGAAACTTAACGAATAAATTAATATAGAAGAGGAAGAAAATTATCTACTGCACAACGTTAGGAAATACAACGGTATTATTCTATTTTTGAAAATGTACTCTCATCGTTATAAATGCAATCTTTCTTAATGAGCAGATTTGATAACTTCATTAAATATAAGTTTAGCATGAAAAACGTGCTTAACGTGGCGATAAAACGCATTTTTAGAAAACTTATAATTTTTCGATATATTATATGCATTTAAATATATTAATATAAACGCAAGAACAACACTCTCTGGCGAATTATTGGCATTTTTTATAAATTAAATTATAATTTTTATTCAATTATATAACGGCAGTATCATAAAATATGTGTATATATATATGGAATATAAATAATGACGATAATATGATATTAATTTATATAAATTATTAATATGGTATTAAAATTGATGCGATTTATTTTGAAATACGCTTATCGAACGCGCAGTCATATGAGGAAATATTACGAAGCGTATATAATACTACGCAACGTATAATTAACGATAAGAAAATTGGCGTCGCGTCTTCTTGCCGGAAGAAATGAAATGTCATTCGCACATACGGTTGTCCTTGAATGCCTGATTAGATTGACTAGCAAACGGCGTTCCACACTTCATCAGTGTCGCTGCGCCGTATTTCTTGCCGTGTCTTTGTGCATGCGAATAATGATGTTGAAATGGCCCGTTTGCTACGTGTGCTTCGAATACGTTTTCTATTTCGCTGACTGTCGTGAGATTTCCTCAAGATCTTTTCAGATATGTCGGTCATGTGGCGTAATTGGTAATATAGGTGTCGTTACTTAATTGCAATGAAAGGTACTTATCAGAATGCATGATTTACAATTATAATTGATCGTTATATTTGACAATTATTATAATCTTGCTAAATTCAGTTTTACTTTTTTACTCTGATTAAATTACAGTTAATTAGAAAAAGAAAGAGAATAACGTAAATGTCATTTGCATCAATTGATCTAACTGATAATTAATTTTCTTATTATAATCATCTTTTTTATTAAGAGTTAAATAAGAAACACACGTAATTATACAATTCTCCAGTATACTGATTTGTTTAAAGTTCCCGTTTACTCATTACTATGCGTCACTCAATGTGTGTGACGTCAGAAATGAGAAAATATACAATAAAAATTCTTGCAATATTTTAATATTGAAATATGTTTTAATAAAACAATACTTATAATCGATAGAACCGTGCGCTTGCAAAATATTTCAAAAACTCCCCTTTATTGTTTCGTTAATTAAAATGAATAATCATATTTGGAAACGAATTATACACACACTAAAAACGAAATGACGTTTACAATATAAACTATGATAAATTATCAAAATAATAAATATATGATAATTTAATAATGTAATTAAAACAAAAAATTAAATATTATATGATTTAAGTTTTTCAGGAATAAGAAGATAGTTTTTGATATATTTTATAAATCTATTCTATTGATTGTTTAATTAAAAAGTATTTCTATTCAAATATAACATGCAAGAATTTTTATTGAATGTTTTCTCTCTTCTGATATCACAATCCGAGTATTGGCGAGTAAACAGGAGCCTTAAATCGAAAATTATAGCCCGCGATATACCGTTATTATTATCGTTTGTAAATGTATTTTGCATGCTGGCGAACTGCAGTTCGTGATTCAATGCACGGCTAAATTAACTGTCACCGCATTTCGGGATATCGTGAGTATTTGTAGACAAGTTACGGAGCAGAGTTGCAAATTTGCAAATAGTGGAAGATCGCTACTTCAGCTTTTGCTTTTCATGTCGAACGTAATGGCCGCTAAACCTGAGCTATAACTACTTACAGTTCATAATGAGAAAGAGGCAAACGAGATTCAATTACGGAGAACGGTGCCGGCCAGTATCCTTGGACGCCTACAGCCTCGACAGCGTTTCGGCGTACAATAGCGTAAGACGCAAAGGTGCGGTAAGATCCTCTAAGAGAAGTTACGGCAACCCGACTTTTGAAGATTCGGTAAGTTCCATTAAATTAATCATGAACATCCCTTTCAAGACTGTTTGAATTTTTATTGTGCTGTTTATAGGAATTTAATCTTAAGTCTAATCAATAATTTTAAAATATATTACAGAAATATTTCGATCCATATATATATATACTTTAGCTACATTAAGAGTTTGTACGTCATGTAAATTAATTTAAAAATATTTACTTATGAAAAATTTAAACTAGCTTAATTAACAATGTTACGATAATTTTTTTCTTTAATAGACATTGTTTTAGTATTTTAGTAACATAATAGGACATTTTTTTTTAAAAAGGAACAATTAATTTGTTCTGACAATGTATTTTTTTATTAATACATAGTTATATACTTTCTATCATTTTACAGCAGTAATTTTTTTTTCTTTATATATAGTGGTTACGTATCACGCAAGTATAGATCTAAATTGATTGTTCAGGTAAAAAAGAGCAATAATATCTATGTCCAAGTTGTAAAATGATAGCAATATATAATATTAACACTTTGGTTTAGTAGATTGGATCGACACATCACAGTAAGTTAACTATGTTGCTTTGTTTGATATTTGCCGTTAGTTGACTTAGATTTTTGCTAGAATTTTGCTGACCTTATTAAATATAACAACTCTTGCGTAAATTCTTTTTGTAAACTATATTCTGAAACACAGATTTAATTTTATGTGGACAACATGTATTTTGTTTTATTAAAATGTATTGATAAATCATTATCTTGAAAGCATTTATAGACATTGATAACAATAATTAGCTTTTAATCACCACTAGTTCCGCAAGGAATTTATTTGATATATCTCCCGAAAATAATTTCTTAATGTTGATATTATAAGTTTAATTATAAATACAATTGTTAAAAAGAAAAGGAATTGTATTAATTTTTAATATAATATATATTGTTATTAAAATTTTAAAAATATATTTTGACTTTAATTCGTTAACACGTACATTTGATTTGCTACATTTAAAGTTGCTTCATATTTCAAGATCAATTTTTCTACTTTTTTAATGTGTACCTTTCTACTTAATTAAATTGGGAAAATTAGTATATCGGAAATATTATAAAATGTATTTTAGTTAAAGAGTTGCTTTATAATTCCAGATCAAATCTCTCTACTTAATATATATTTTTCTATTTAATTAAATTTAGAAAATTAGCATATTCGAAAATTAGCATTTTGAAAATATTTGTCAATCGATATCGAACGATTTCCCATGATAGTGCTCGATCAAACGAAGTGAGACGACGGTCTCTTTTTCCACGAGCGAAGCTACGAGTGAAGTTTCCTATGAAAGGTATTCTCTTATTTCAGAGCGCCATTCCCTCTCATCCTCTCAACTTCGCCGGGCTTTCATCTTTCTGTAACGACGTTAACGCAATCAACGAGGAGTTCGCGGGCATACCCCAGGTTTCGGCGAAGATAGACGAGCTGCCCCCAGGAGCGGAGGTGAAGAATAGATACGCGAACGTGATTCCGCTTCCGGAGACGAGGGTGCCGTTACAGAGACTGAACAATGACGTCTTAACCGAATACATTAATGCTAGTTACGTGCGGGTAAGTGAGACGTTTTTGTTCAAGTTGATTTCGCGGACGTATCTCTCGTCACGCATCGCGTGGTTCACAAGGGACATCTTTGTCACTGCCACACGCGTCATTGCTGTTAAAGACTTTATTCTCTCCCGGCATTTACGACGAAATATGAAGCCATAACCTGCACTTGAATTCGAGCGTGATTTACAGCTATGTCCTGGAATCCTGATTGTAAATCCATGTTCCTGTGTTGAGAATTCATCTACCATAGTCGTATAAGCTGTGTTGCAGGTCGCAAGCATGCTGTGACAGCCAATTTGATATGTCAATATTAAAATTGACGCTCAATTTTAATATTGAAGCATCAGATTAGCTGTCACAGCAAGCTTGCAACCTGCAACACAGCTTATACGACTATATAGGCTTATAGACTGAGCGACCATTGTATAATATTATATAATAGATAAGGCCTAATACGGATTAATTAATTTGTGAATCAATAGCGAGTAGCGTCAAATGAAAAACAGATGATCTATTTTAACTTATACCCGTCTCGATTTTACATAGACCATGGGAGAATTGCATGAATTATCTATGTCGTTAGGATAATGAGGTGTTTATATGCGAGATCAGATTACGTCAGCCACGTCATACAGAGAATGCTGTAAAGTGTTAAAGTGTAGTAAAGCGTTTTCGCGGTGCCGTGGGAAAGAAATATTGCGTAATACGCATCGCCGGGAAAGTGAGTGCATTGTATCGCGCAACCTGGGAACTTAGACGCGGAAGCGTTAGGAATTGTCTGCAGATTATAACTATAGTTTGTCTTTCATAGCCTTAATTCATAAAACGGGGTCAAAAAGGTACAAAGGCTAATCTCGCGAGCGCAAGGTTACCTGGAACGTATGTACGTTTCTCGTACATTTTAAGGAAATCACACGGAAAGGACATTGCTATTTTGATGTTTGATTTTAAAGAAATATTTTGCTGAAATATCTGAAAATTTAGATACAAATCTGAAAATAATGGCTTATAAAGTTGGAGAACAATCAAATTAATTGTTAGAATATAAAAACTTTTTGCATATCAAAACTTTTATGCTTAAATTTCCCACATAATTATTTTTATGGTCTAACAAAATTATTTTCATATCTGTATTTAGCTAAATTTTTAGTTCAGCAAATTCGTTCTTTTCATGCAGAAGTCTGAAAAAATCATATCCGTCTTTGGCCGTTTTTTAATATACAAGTATACTGCCTGTACTAAAAATCTGTAGTTCACGTTATGTATATTAGTTTTTCACTACTGGTAGTATATATGTTTTAACAGAATTTATAAAAAAATTAATGAAATTATAAAACGGAAATTTTTATACCCTGATTTCTCATCATTAAAAATAATGATGAAATATGTTGTATAATACATAACAAAGTAAAAGACACAATTCATAATTGAAAACTTGACAGAACTCATTTTGGGCGACCTATAATATGACAGAATTCTAGACAGAATTCTATTTATTTACAATATATATAGATAGATTCTTAAAATCAGTTCTACATACCCACAGTATATGTGGATGGATTGTTAAAAAATGGCTTCTATATTTTTGATAATATTATCTTAAAATAAGAAATTGAAATTATTTTTTAACTATAGATTTTGGTGCCGGAAGTTACTTTTCTAAAATTTATTTAATTTATCTTTCAGTAATATCTTTTTTGTTTAAAAGTATGTTTTATTTTAACTATATTTGAGATATTTATTAATTCTTGGAATATTTCATACATCTACATTGATTAAATCTGTTTTAGCAATGTCCAAAACGCATTGCGATTGTTTAGTACACAAATCGTACTTTGATAGAGACAATCTGTAGTAATAGTAATACTGAAAGAAAAACTTGCGCGGACTCTCTTTTGTTGTATAAATCGCAAGTGGATATCGCGAATATATTACGTGTATGATGTTGCAACAATTTACGTGACAATTTTATTCAATAAACGTAAAGTACGCCGCGACTGAGCAATTTTCAATTTATCGCTTATGAAATTTTTTTCGCTTAAGAAATGAAAGTCCAGAGAAAAAGTATATAAACACGCAAGAGTCGTGTTTTTTTCTTTTCCTGAATATCCTGTGGTGCCTGGCACCCTAAGGATACAGAGAGCCCATTTATCTCATATGCGTTAAGTCGCTTTTACGGGAGATTCGAGGGCAACGGGCAAGACTTCCATTAGGAGCGAATCGATCGATCGATAAGCGTATACAGCGGTATCGCTTCCGCCTTCGGATTGCTTCATATCGCGAATCAAGCTAGCATTCGTAACGTTTCTACCTTGTATATAGCATACGTCTTGCAATTACAGAGCGTACACGATCAATTAATGCGCGCCGAATGTGGTCGATGGAACCCAGTCTGACGTGTAATTAATTTCGCTCAATTCTCGATAAGATCGCGCAATATTCTGAAAATACAATTGCGCGTTTGAATAGAGTATTAGTCATACTTGATAATTATCTATAAATAGAAGAAATATTTTAAAATATATTTAAAAAAAAAACAAAACTCTACACCAGTCGAGTTTCTAAAAATATAATATTATTAATTAAAACTTTCCACGAATATGCCCTGCAATGTTAAATTAATTGTAGCGATAATTAATGAAGAAATGAGTTTCAATTTAAAATGGTAAATAAGATAAATTATATTTCTTTGATCTTTGTAGACATTATTATTTTGTTTTCCTTTCGAACAAAACTTAGTAGATAAAAAAATATTTTATATTTTAATTGATAATATTTTATATATAACGTATTATATATATTAATATTAATAATTTAACTAAAAAATGAATTTATTATTTTACATTTTCTTATTTCCTGATATAACATATTTAATAAAGAGGTTAACTCATACTTAATACAAATAGTGATATTTAGTTTCATTGTTAGAAAATATTTGAAAATTATTGTATGTATTATTTATATGCACGAAAGAACAATTTTGCTAAAGTATCTAAAAATTTAGCTATAGGTATCTAAAATTAATTCTGCTGAATTATCAAAATCTTTGTACCATTTTGATAGTCCAATAAAGTTATTTTTATCTGTATTTAATTAAATTTTTAAATATGTCAGTATAATTGTTTCGTAGAATCTCAATTTGGATGTGATTTAAAAATGCTCGCCAATTTTTCAGGGACCTAAAAACGCCACAAAGTATTATATCGCGTGCCAAGCGCCAATAGAGTCGACCGTTACCGACTTTTGGCGGATGATTTGGGAGCAGCAGTCCAAAGTAATTATCATGCTGACCGATCTCGTCGAAAATGAAGTGGAAAAGTGTACGGAATACATTCCACCTTCAGAGATAACAGACTGTCATCGACTTTACGGTGATTTCCAAGTCACTCTGAAAAAGCGAGAAACCAAGGAGAAATACGCTATCTCTACACTTCACCTTAAGGTAAAGCATATTCCTAAGCGTACATAATAAAAGTATTTGTAGCTTAATTTTTAAAAGGTAGGAGATTTGTTTT